CTCCAACATCTGCAGTTCCTACTATCTCTATTCCATAAACCCCTACTTCCTATGGCTCATCCACCTTGCCTGGACACTATGGGACAATTTAGCACGATCAACCTACCAAATCTGCGCATGTTTGGACTGTGGGAGGAAACAAGAGAATCCTGTAGAAATCCACGAAGACGAGCAAACCCTGGAGCCGGGTCCGCTCCTCGGTTGCCAGCCGACACCTCACTCTGGAGCACTCACCCACGACCCCGAAAACGCCACCAGCATTATCATCCCGTACCGAGGACCCAGTGCGCTGCTCGTAACCAATCAGCATCGACTCGGCTTCTCTCTTCCGGCAGCCGTGGTGACGTTCTTGCGAATCACGTGTTTGGAGGCGTCAGCCCGGGCGAAAGCGGAGCTGTCAATCAAACGAACTACTGTACAGTCACTTAGAGATAGTAAGAGCTGCCGATGCTGGAGTCAGAGATAACACCGTGTGGAGCTGGAAGAACACAGCTGTCTGAATTCGGGTCCCCGAACCGAAACGTCAACTTTCTTACTCCGCTGACGCTGCCTGGCCTGCTATGTTCCTCCAGCTCCACACTCTGATATACCGTACAGTCACTCCTCGTTCGCAAATCTCACTTCGAACACAAAAGTCTATCAGAAAGTATTCAGAAATGTAAGCAATATTGATCCAACAAAAGAAAACATCTGACTCTTAAAAGTCGGAAATTACAGGTGAAGGAAAAAAACTAAGTACAGAGATTGAATAAACACAAATTTACGAGTTGCTCTCAGTCAATGCTTGTATGCAATGTCTCCAACATCTAAAATATTGGAAAATGGAGCATTTTAGGAACACATTTGAAAGAGTTCTAGCGTGTCACAGAAAAAGGAATAAATACTTAGGATACAACAGGTGTGAAATTGAGGTTTTGTTTCTTTTTCATCATTTGCATCAGTAAAATCCAATCACCTCTCAACTTATGGAGAAAATATATGCTTTTTCATATGACCTGATCGAAGATGTTATAATGCATCTCTGGATCAGATGGAACGTGTATCTATGCCTTCTGGTAGGGACATAACCACTGTGCCACAAAATGAATTTCAAATTGGGCCTATTTGGCCCAGTATGGAAACAGGGCCTAGATATTTAAATCAACCTGTTCAGATATATTATGATACACCTCGGGAGCAGGTGAGACTGGAATCCAGGACTTCTGGCCCACTGCTAGGGCCCTTAAAATTAGTTTTAGTCAACTGGCTTGGACATGTTATGGCATTCCTCTATGGCAGGTGAGACATGAAACTGGACCTACAATTCAGGCACTGAGATAGGACCACTGTGCGACAAGAGTCCCTATAACTCCCCATAATCTAATTGACTGGCTGTGTTAGATAGAACATAGAACAGTATAGCACAGTACAGGCCCTTCAGCCCACGAACTTTTACCCCAATCCTAAGGTCTATCTAACCTCCACCCCTACCTTATACTATCATCCATATGCCTATCTAATAGCCACTTAAATTCCCCTAATCAGGCTGACTCCACTACCCATGTTTTCACTGTTTACTGTCCCTGTCATTCTGCGTCTTCTACATATACAAAATAAATCCTTTCTCTGCATCTATCATATTCAAACATCCAGCTTTTTGTAGAGGGTCAGAGATTTTACAGTCAATGGAGAGACCTTTCTTCAATTGTCTCCATGCCAGGCATCAAACAAACATCTATTCTAATCCCATTTTCCAACACTTGACCCATAGACCTGTTCGCAAAGGTGTTTGAAGTGTTCATCTAAATAGTTCTTAAATGTTATGCACATTCTCCCCTCGACCACCATTTTAGTTCGTGAGTGCCTGATATCTGCAACATACTGTGTGAAAATATATTTCCTCAAAAAGCTAAATCCCCTGCTCCTGACCTTAAAATTGCACTCCATTGTTCTTGAACCCCACTATTAAAGAAATAATTTTCTCTCTTTCTACCTGTCTACATTCTTCATAACTTTGTAGAACTCAATCAGGAACCCTCTCAGCCTTTTCTGCTCTCTGTAAATCTACCCTAGCTGATTCAGTCTCTCCAGAGATAAACCAATTCCATTCCAGCAACATGTGCTCAAAGCACCTCTTCACCCTCTCTAGTGCAATTACATCCTTCCTAAAGTGTGGTGACCAGAACTGCACACAGCACTCTAGCTTTGGCCTAACAAATGTTACATGCAGCTAAATAATAATCTCCTAGCTGCAGCATTCAATCCCTTCTGCCAAAGTTAAATAGGGGTCCATTCAGTTATCGAATGCACATAAACATGGTCTTGTATGTGTAAGAGATGTCTTTGGTTTGTTGGATAGACTCAAACTCTAATGTTTTTGTTTCCTTAATATGCTACTGTACAAAATGAAACTGTGTTCGTGACTATGCATATACATAATTTTTTTAAATAAATAAAACATATGTTGAAGTAAAGAAAAGTTGCACTCAGTGCCTTGGCTAATAAAGGCAAGTATGCCATGTGCCTTCTTAACTACATTAACCACCATATCTAACTGGTGCCTACAAGTATCTATGAACATGCATACTGAGTTTGCTGAAATTCTCTTTACTTGTTGGTGTCCTACCATTCAATATGTACTTCCTTACCTTGTTAGTCCTCCCAAAATGCATCACACTGTTATTTTCAGATTTAAATTCCATTTGCTATTGTTCAGCACATCTGAACAGCCTGTCTATATTATGTTTTAGGCTAAGGTTTTCCTCCTGAATATTTGCCAATTTATTATGGAAATTGCAGAAGGAATGTGGAAAATTATAAAACATACATAAATAAATTCTCCTAGATTCCCTGGATACTTGGGCAGGTTCTGAGTAAAATGACACCTGTATAAGCCAAAACTGGTTGCCCTGAACAGTGCTGGGACTGGTTCCTTGCAAGGAAAATGCTAGTACTGTTGAGATGGCTTTAAATCAACTCAGCAGGTTTGTGGGAATCAGAAAATAACATTAAAGAGGAATACCAAGGCACACTACAACAGAGAATAGGTGATGTCCTGATGGTATTATCACTAAACTACTAATCCAGAGACCTGGCTTCAAATCCCATCAGAGCAGATGGTGGAATGTGAATTAAATAAAGATATGCAATTAACACTTTAATGATGACCACTGGTGATTATGGTGGAAAGAAAACATCTTAACTGGTCCAGCCTACATGTGCCTCTTACTTGCACTCAATTCTACCAGACACTTGTAAGGAAAATAAATGAATGAAAATGACCTCCTGGCATTAACCTAAGCACCAGAAACAACAACAGCAAACACAGTCCTGTCAAGCCTGCCGAATTCTCCTTACAAAACGTCTGGGGGCTGCTCCACATCCTTGTCAAGTAACAGCCTAACATTCTCACAGAATCATACCTGTCAGACAATATCCCAGACACCACCATGTCTACATATGTCCTGTCCTACAGGCAGAACGGTCCAGCAGAGATGGTGGCACAGTGGTTTATGGGAGAAAGTTGAACTGGTAGTCCTGAAAATTGACTCCAGACACCATTAAGTCCAAAGTTTTGGCAAAGATCTGTAGCTCAAGTTGTGAGTGAGGTTGCTGACTTGCTTGCCGAGCTGGCTCATTCTCGTTCAGACGTTTAGTCACCATGCTAGGTGACATCATCAGTGGAGCCTCCGATGATGCAATTTTATTTAAATCTACTTGGAATTTATACTGTTTGGTCCGTTGAATGGTGGGGGCGTTCATTGGAGGCTCCACTGATGATGTCACCTAATATGGTGACAAAACATCTGAATGAGAACAAGCCAGCTCAGCGAGCAAAGTCAACAACCTCGCCATTAAGTCTCAAGTCATCAGGTCGAACAGGGGCAAGGAAACCTCCTGCTGATTGCCATGTACCAGACTTCCTTGGCTGATGAATCAGTAATTCTCCATGTTGAGCAACAATTGGAAGAAGCACTGAGGGTGACAACAGAGCAGAAAGGAATTGAACCATAGAAATCGAACAGCACAGAAGGGGATCCTTTGGCCCATCTTGTTCATGCTGACTCAAAGGTACACAGATGCCCTTTCTAAACCCATCTTTCTTCACATGGCCCATATCCCTGCAGGTTACAGCACTTAAGGTGCAGATTCAGATACATTTTAAAAGAGTACAAGGTCTCTGCCTCCACCACCAACTCAGTGTAATCTTGGTGTGGGCTTCAATGTTCACTACCAAGAGTGTCTCAGCAGCAGCATTACTGATCAAGCTAGTTGAATCCCAAAGGATATTGTTACTACTCTGGCTCTATGGCAATGGTGAAAGAATCAACAAGAGGGATAAACTTACCTGACCTTATCCTTACCAATCGATCTGCTGCAGTTGCAATTGTGCATAACAGTATCAGTTAGATGCTGATAATCATACAGACATTGTGGAAATGAAGTCCGACCTTCACACTGACAATATATTAAATCATTTTGTGTGGTAGGATTACCATACTAAATGGGACAGACTTTGAACAGATCTAGCAACTCCAGATTCTGCAATTCTGCTGCTGTTGATGGCCCACAATGTACCAAGGATGCACAATCTGCATCCTCATAGCTGGACATTTGTCCAGCTGACCATTACCATCAAACCAGGGAATCAACCCTGGTTCAATGAAGAGTGCAGGGGGGCATGCTGGGTAAAGCACAGAGCATACCTGAAAATAACATGTCAACCTGATGAAGCTACAACAGGGCTTCCTGTATGCCAAACAACATAAGCTGTAATTGGTAAACAGAGCTAAGTGATCCCGCAACCAATGGATAAGATGCTTAGGCTCTTTAGCCCTGCCACATCCTCCTACTATCTCTCAGTTGTGAACGTTGGTGGACAATTAAACAAATCACTGGAGGAAGAGGATCTACAAAAAAAACCATCCTCAATGGGGCAGGAGCCCAGCACTTCTGTGGAAAATGTAAGGCTGAAGCATTCACAACAGTCTTCAGCCAAAATTGCCAAGTGGATGCTCCATCTTGGCCTCTTCAGCATAACAGATGCCAGTTTTAAGGCAATTCAATTCACCCCTGCGATATCAAAAAATGATTGGAGATACTGGATACTGCAAAGTCAGTGGGCCCAATTCACCATTAGTACTGAAGACTACTGCCCTGGCTGCACCCCTGTCTAAACTCTTCCAGTACAGTACAACATTGGCATCTAATGACATGGACATATCCAACAAGGCCATTTGCCACCCCATCAGTCTACTCTCCGTGATCAGTAAAGTGGTGGAAGTTGTCATCAACAGCGCTATCAAGCAGTAAGTGTTCAGCAAAAATCTGTTCACTCACACCCAGTTTGGGTTCTGCTCGGGACACTCAGATCCTGACGTCATTACAATCTTGTCTCGAACATAAACGATACATTGAATGTACTATATTTGTATTGAGTCGACGGCACCTTACACCTATCCCTGGTGGTCTAGTGGTTAGGATTCGGCGCTCTCACCGCCGCGGCCCGGGTTCGATTCCCGGTCAGGGAATTGCCTTTTAGGAGAGAGTTAAGTTTGTTTACAAATAATAGTCGACCCTCAACATAATTGCGGAAGCAAATATTTACTAAGGTGACCAGGAGCTCTTAGCGTCTCAGGCCGAGGTAGTAATTCAGTCCTGCCCCAATTTTCACCACTTGGTGTCTCCGACTTCTGCTGACACCCAGAATAAAAATGTAGACTGCGAAAGATGTTAGATCGTGGGTAGAGACTTCCGGAGGGAGGGCTTGACGGGCCGGAGATGGCGATCATGGATTTAACAACTGCAGGTGTTTAGGTCTAACATTTTGCCTTCAATCGGGAAGCCGCCGCATTGTCGAATTCGTTGCACTCACTTAGTTCCACACGTGTTTCACCGTTCACGTTTCACTTTCTGCAGGGGAAAAAAGTATCAACTTTTTTAAAACTGAAACCCGGGTTTCCTCCGGGTGCTCCGGTTTCCTCCCACAGTCCAAAGATGTGCAGGTTAGGTGAATTGGCCATGCTGAATTGCCCATAGGGATGTGTAGATTAGGTGGGTTATAGGGGGATGGGTCTGGTGGACTTGTTGGGCCGAAGGGCCTGTTTCCACACTGTAGGGATTCTATAAGACTACTTACTGTATACTCACGAAGCTGCCTCTGAGTTTCCGTTACGAAGAAGTGTTACTTCTCACTACAGAGGTTACCGGAGTTGCATCGTATTTCCGGCACTTGTTGTTTTCTTTCGTATTTTCCTTTCGTGAATCTCGAGACGTCGATCCCTTTCGTTTGGATCCCTCGTCCCGCTTTTGGGAAACACCATTACCGATTCTATGAATGCGATGCATTTTGTCGGGTGTCGTTAGGAGGGGGGCACCATGGAATTTGATTTGTCATGACCACATTCCTGGAATCAGTTTTTTTTTTCCAGGGTATGTGTGACATTCATTGACAAATTCACCGTGTTCCAGCACAGGTAGGCGAGAGTACTGGCGGCTATACCCGGCAATCAGCACCTTTCGGCAGTTTTACGTAGGCACAGCAGAACTGGAGGAGGATACCCAGTGATTTCTAGATGAAAAAAGGTTCAGATTAAACTTCTTTCAAATGGAGCACTGTACTTAACATTGTTTTGCCTCCGCTAATTCAACCCGCACAACAACGGAAGTAACTTTACATGATGTTTGCAATCTATAGAAACAACTTACAGCAGTCTCTGAATTCAATAACTTAAGGCGAGAGGTTATGAAGGAAATATTGCCAGTTAGGAGTGGGGAGAAATGGAAAATAATAAGTCTCCAGTTCTGTAACTCATGAGGGAAACTTCTGTTCCACTGACCAGAAGGAGACAGATACTTTTTTTTCCAAAACACAAATTGTTGGAGGAAACACAGCAGGTTTGGCAATGCCTGTGGAGAGAAAGCAAAACTAATATTTCGAGTCGAGTAACCCACATTCAGAACTGTTCCCTTCATAGATGCTATCAGATCTGCTGAGTTTTTCGAGCGATTCTTTGATTTCTTTTAAATTAAATTATTGTTCACCTTTCCTTCTCCTTTGAGATGCTGTAAGGTTTCCAAAAAATTAACTAATCTGTGTGACCGAAGGAATTCCCGTTATTGCACATCAGGAAAAAAAGTGCAATATTGGTTTCAGAGCAATGCGAATATTAACAATGGAATGAAAGGCTGCAAGGAAAACGGCAGCGACAGCAAGGAAAGCTTTGTCAGCGATACAAATAATTACAAAGCATGAATCTGTTTGGGAGGTGCCCATGACTGATCACACCTAGAGAACACTCTCACTATAAGTCTCTGTGGCGCAATCGGTTAGCGCGTTTGGCTGTTAACTGGAAGGTTGGTGGTTCGAGCCCATCTAGGGACGGCACTTCTCGTCCGTTTTTAGTAACTATGATGGAAAAGTTGTCACGAATTTTTGTGCACTGCAATTCCAAGGAAGTTATCTACAAACTTTGTCAGCACGAATGTTGTCTAGTAAGATTACTTATCATTTGAAAAACATATAACACACGTCGCTCCGCCCACCGCCGACGCCGTCGTCGCTCCGCCCACCACCTCCACAGCCAGCAGCTCCAGAGGAGACACAAGCACCCAGCCCTGCCGAGTCTTCACCTTCCCCCCAGACCTCCCCCTTACTGAGGACAAACGGTCAGTCCTGAGTAAAGGGCTCACCTTTGTCCCCCTCCACCCACACATCAACGAATATAGCTCACGCTTGGACGTTGAACAGTTTTTCCGCCGCCTCGGCCTCCACGCTTGCTTCTGACCCTGACCCCTTCTCCCGCCTCCAACACACCCGCTCCTCCCGGACACCACCCCAAGGCCTCCGATCCTCCCTCGACCTCGTCATCTCCAACTGCCATTGTAACATCAATCGCCTGAACCTCTCCACCCCTCTCACCCACTCCAACCTCTCCCCCACAGAACGTGCAGCCCTGTGCTCCCTCCGCTCCAATCCCAACCTCACCATAAAACCCGGGGACAAGGGAGGCGCAGTTGTAGTATGGCGCACTGATGTCTACATCGCCAAGGCCTGACACCAGGTCTCTGGCACCTCCTCCTACCTGTCCTTGATCATGACCCCACCCCCAACCACCAAAACATCATCTCCCAAACCATCCACAACCTCATCACTTCAGGTGACCTCCTACCCACAGCCTCCAACCTCATCATTCCCCAACCCTGCACCGCCTGTTTCTATCTCCTTCCCAAAATCCACAAACCTGACTGCCCTGGTCAACCCATTGTCTCCACCTGCTCCTGCCCCACCGAACTCATCTCTCTTTACCTTGACTCCATTTTCTCCCCCTTGGTCCAGGAACTCCCCACCTATGTCCGTGACACCACCCACGCCCTCCACCTCTTCTAAAACTTCCAATTCCCTGGTCCCCAACACCTCATCTTTACCATAGACATCTAGTCCCTATACACTTGCATTCCCCATGCAGATGTCCCGCAGGCCTGACCAGTCGCCCTCCACTGACACCCTCATCCACTTAGCTGAACTCGTCCTCACTCTTAACAACTTCTGCTTCAATTCCTCCCACTTCCTACAGACAAAGGGGGTGGCCATGGGTACCCTCATGTATGCCCAAGCTATGCCTGCCTCTTTGTAGGATACATGGAACAATCCCTCTTCCAAAGCTACACTGGCCCTATCCCCCACCTCTTCCTCCGTTACATCGATGACTGTATCGGCGCTGCCTTGTGCTCCCACAAGGAGCTCAAACAGTTCATCCACTTCACTAACACCTTCCACCCCAACCTTAAGTTCACCTGGACCATTTCCAATACCTCTCTCTCCTTCCTGGAACTCTCTGTTTCCATCTCTGGCATCCACCTGGAAACCGATATCCATTTCAAGCCTACTGACTCCCATAGCTACCTAGGATACACCTCTCTCACCCACCTTCCTGCAAAAATGCCCCTATTCCCAATTCCTTCGCCTCCGCCACATCTGCTCTCGAGATGAGGCATTCCGCTCCTGAGATGAGGCAATCTATTCCCGGACATCCCAGATGTCCTCATTTTTGAAGGACCGCAACTTCCTCTCCACAGTGGTCAAAAACGCTTTCGACCGTGTCTCTCGCGTTTCCCGCAACTCATCCCTCACACCCCCTCCCCGCAATAACAACCAAAACAGAATCCCCCTCGTCCTCACATACCACCCCACCAAGCTCCGGATCCAACGCATCATCCTCCGACACTTCTGCCGTCTGCCATCTGAACCCACTACCAAAGACATTTTTCCTTCCCCACCCTTAGCTGCTTTCCGGAGGGACCACTCTCTCCGTGACTCCCTTGTCCTCTCCACACTCCCCACCAGCCCCACCATCCCCAGCACTTTTCCCTGCAACCGCAGGAAGTGCTACACCTGCCCCTACAGCTCCCCCCTCACCCCCAGCCAAGGCCCTAAGAAGACCTTCCACATCAAACAGAAGTTCATCTGCACATCTGCTAATGTGGTATACTGTATCCGCTGATCCCGTTGTGGCCTCCTCTACATCAAGGAAACCAAGAGGAGGCTTGGGGAACGCTTTGTGGAACACCTAAGCTCTGTTCACAACAAACAACTGCACCTCCCAGTCACGAACCATTTCAACGCCCCCTCACACTCCTTGGACGACATCTCCATCCTCGGCCTCCTGCAGTGCCACAATGATGCCACCCGAAGGTTGCAGGAACAGCATCTCATATTTCGCTTGGGAACCCTGCAGCCCAGGGGTATCAATATGGACTTCAAAGTTTCAAAATCTCCCCTCCCCCGACTGCATCCCAAAACCAGCCCAGCTTGTCCCCGCCTTCCCAAACACCCCTCCCCCCTCAAGCCCCACCCCAATCTCCTACCCCCTCCTTGACCTGTCCATCCTCCCTGGACTGACCTATCCCCTCCCTAACTCCCCACATACACTCACATTTACTGGCTCCAACCCCGCATGTTTGACCTGTCTGTCTCCTCTCCACCTATATTCTCCTTTATCCATCTTCTATCCGCCTCCCCCTCTCTCCCTATTTATTTCAGAATCCCCTTCCCCTCCCCCATTTCTGAAGAAAGGTCTAGACCCGAAACATCAGCTTTCCTGCTCCTCTGATGCTGCTTGGCCTGCTGTGTTCATCCAGCTCTACACCTTGTCATCTCAGATTGTCCAGCATCGGCAGTTCCTACTATCTCAGGATAATGATGAAAACATTTGGTATGCTTGCCTTTATTGGTCAGTGCATTGAGTATTGGAGGTCATGTTCCGGCTGTACAGGGCATTAGTTAAGCCACTTTTGGAATATTGAGTGCAATTCTGGTATCCCTGCTACCGGAAGGATGTTGTGAAACTTGAACGGGTTCAGAAATGATTTACAAGGATGTTCCCAGGATTGGAAGTTTGAGCTAGAGGCGGAGGCTGAATAGGCTTTGGGCCACTTTCCATGGAGCGTCGGAGGCTGAGGGGTGACCCTATTGAGGTTTATAAAATCTTGAGGAGCATGGATACAACAAATAGCCAAGATCTTTTCCCTGGGGCGGAGGAGTCCAAACCTAGAGGGCATAGGTGCACAAGATGGCAATGGCATGCAGGTTCCTCAGCCCATTGCTCTTCTAATCTGTTCACTTTTTTTTCATTCTTTTTCGTTCTTTGTTTTAAATGTTTCTAATAGTTAATATTACAACATCATACTTCATTTCACCTTCATTTGACAGCTTGTGCAGCGACGAGGTGTCTTCTGGAGTTCTTTTCTCAGCCCTGGTGTGGTGTTCTTGTCTTGGATTGATGGTCTCATTCCGGCTGTGTGTTTTGTCTTTTCATCGGCTTCCTCTGAAACCAGGAGCCATTGAATGGACAGTGATGAACTTTTGTCTTAAATTTATTTTTTAATGTTACTTATGACTTCTGTCATTAATACAGGTGCCATGGTAAGGTGACTTTTAACAGTTTTTGTTATTTTTCTAAATAAATTGTAAATTTATGTGAAAATTTATGTTTAAGGTGAGAGGGGAAAGATTTAAAAAGAATTGGAAAGGTAACTTCTTCATGCAGAAGGTGGTGCATGTATGGATTGAAAAGACCAAAAGACCTGCAGATGCTGTAAATCAGGAACAAAAACAAAGTTGCTGGAAAAGCTCAGCAGGTCTGGCAGCATCTGTGGAGGAGAAAACAGAGTTAACGTTTCAGGCCCAGTGACACTTCCTCAGAAATGACGGTGGCTGGGAAAACGTCAGTTTATATGCAGAAAATAGGGAGGTGAGTGGGGTAGGGAGTAAACGATAGGATAGAGCCCAAAGAGAGAGAAAGACAGTGGGACACACAAAGGAGTTGCTAACGATCAGGCTGGGAGGGTGAATAGTTGTTAATGGGGACAATTAGTGACTAACAACATGGGGTGTGTAATGGCAGGGTATGTGGTAACAAGGCCTGGTGTGTGGTGTAGGGGACTGGGACATGGGAGAGTTTAGCCCTAAAATTATTGAACTCAATATTGAATCCAGAGGGCTGTAGGGTCCCCAAGCAGAAAATGAGGTGTTGAGCGTTGGGCTTCGCTGGTACATTGCAGGAAGCAAGAGACAGAAATGTTGGCCAGGGAGTAGGATAGTGCATTAAAGTGGCAGGCAACAGGTAGTTCAGGGTCTTTTTTGCAAGCAGAACGTAGATGTTCTGGTGAGGGAGGAGGTAAATGGGCAGGTGTTACACCTTCGCCAGTTACAGGAGAAGTTGCTGTAGGGTTGTGGGGAGTTGTTGGGGGTGAACGAAGTGTGGACCAAGGTGTCCCAGAGGGAATGGTTCTTGGGGAAGGTGGACAAGGTAGGGGAGGAGAATATGTGTCTGGTGGTGGCATCTCGCTGGAGATGGCAGAAATGGCGTCTGATGATCTTCTGGATGTGGATGCTGGTGCGATGATAGGTGAGGAAATGGGGAATCCTATTTCTGTTGTGGGAGGGAAGAGAAGGGGTGAAGGCGGAGGTGCGGGAGATGAGTCAGATCTGGTTGAGGCCCCTGTCAACAATCCAGCTGGGGAATCCTTGGTTGAGGATTGTCAAAGTTGGCCTCATCTGAACATATGTGACTGAGAAAATGGGATGGAGCCCTTGCAGGAAGTGGGTTGTGAGGATGTATAGTCCAGATAGCTGTGGGAATCAATGGGTTTGTAATGGATATTGGTGGCCAGTCTATCCCCAGAAATGGAAACAGAAATGTCGAGGAAGGGAAGGGAGGAGTCAGAGATAGACCAGGTGAAAGTGAGGGCAGGGTGGAAGTTGAAGGCAAAATTGATGAAGTTTGTATGGAATGAGTTGCCGGAGAAAGTAGTGGACGTGTGTATAATTACAACATTTAACCGCCACTTGGATGGGTATATGAATAGGAAGGGTTTAGAGGAATGTGGGCCAAATGCAGTCAGCTGGTGTTAGTGTATCCTGATGGCTAGTTTCCTTCCTGTCTGGCCGATGTAATTAATGTC